GACCCTATGCTAATGCCAACGAGATAAACATGATCAACAAAACACCGCAGCCAGAGCAACAACGACAACAATCACCACGTCATATATGATGATGACTATGCCTGTACAAGGTGCCACGATGTCATCTGCTTAAGGAACAAGAATAACAGCAGTTGCCTTCATATCCAAACGCTGTCAGCAAACGAAGGATCGAGAAGAAAATCCAAAGTGAGATTCAGCCACATAAAAAACTCAATCATCATCATCATGATCATAATCCCCATCATCATCTCCGGCAGGCACAAAATTGTGCAAGGACGTCTGTGTCCATGTTTGCCCTTGGACCTCTGCTGTGACAGGGTCCAGCCGATTAGGGCTGTTGGATACAGGATGCAGGCCTCAATTTAGGGTTTGGGGTTTAGGGTTAAGGGACACAGGCATCTGCTATAAAATATCAGCGAGTCATGAGCAAACCAAGAAAACGACAGCTGAGTAACGGCTCTGGTAAACTGGCAAACGCTAAACCACCAAACTCTGAACCCCGGGCGAAGAAACCCAACCCCTCACTCCTACCCCGAAAAAGTCCTGAATCCCCAGGCCTTAAGCCCATCGCCGTCCTCGTCTCCCACTTGCCTTTTCCAATCGTAGGCCGGCTCGACGACGAATCCCACAGTCTCCTTTGGGGTCTATTGTTGTTTGGGGCTTGGGGTTTAGGGTTGCGAAAAAAGACCTTCAATTTGTTTTTTCGATGGGTGGTAGGGTCCTGACTCAGTTACCACAAACAGGGCCCAAACCCTAAACCCTCAACTCAACCCAAACTCGAAACCTTAAAGCTAAAGCCCGAAACCCGAAGCCCGTATGCTTCAGATTTCAGGGTTGTACCACCCTCCCCTTCGGAGGGTTCTTGCGAAACAAAACGTACACCCCCAAGCAAAACAAACCGACTTGCCGGCTCTGAGGTGTTAGGATTTCCTGGAATTAGGTTCTTGGATTTCTGGGGTTTAGGGTTCAGGGTTTCGGCTTTAGAGTTTAGGGGAGGCAAGAGCCTCGAGACTCCAATATCCCTTAATTAAGGAATATACCTTAAATTATAGTAAAATCCCTAATATGATTTAAGGTATATTCCTTAACTAAGGGATATTGGAGTCTCTGGGAGCTTAGGGCTTCGTGCACCCCACTTCGCCTGGCGCTGTCGGGAGCCGCTCCGGGCGCGGCTCCGCGCGCGGCTGAGGCTCCGCGCGCGGCTGAGGCTACGCGGCCGTCCCGGCGGGAGCTCCTTTTTGTGGTTTTGAGGAGTAGCCCCTTCTTAAAAAGAATCACCAGGGATCCCTTTAAAAGGGATCTATAAGGGTCCTATAAAGGGTTTAGATTCATGAACAATAACGGAAATTCGAAATTCTCCCAAATCGATACGTATTTAAGCAGGGGTTCAGGAGATAGAGCTCAAGGTTTCAAGGATCATTACTTCTTCAAATTCTAAGGACTCCAGGGCTTTTGGGGTTTAGGGTTTACGGTTGGGGTATTCGGGAAGATTACTCTTCAACAAAGGACGAGTGCAAGCTTCCGCGGCTCTCAGTGGGCAGAGGAGGGGCAGGGGGCGCGGTTCTGTGTCGTTCTTTGCCTTTTCCTGCGGCTCATGGGTCCTTGGTGCTTTTACAGCTTGAAAGTTCTCATGGCCCTATGGCATCTGTTGCTACAACACTACGGCTTCTTTGGGCCCCTGTAGGCTTCTTGTATTGTAGCTGCTTTTAGAGCCGGCCATGGCTGGCCATGGGTTGTGATTCAGACCCCCAAAGGCGCCACTCAACTGGCCGGTTTGGCCAGGACCTCGAGCTTTCCCAAACCTTGAACTCCTCAACTTCAAAGGGCAGGCGCCTCATAAGTACGACTTCGGCCACGGCTGTGCCCACGCGACCTGTCGAAGATATGGAATCGCCCCGCGATAATGATGTAGAACATCCCCGGTGACCACGATGACCACAAAGCACTACTATCACTGCTACTACCACTACTTGTACCACTGCTTCTGTCGCTGCTACTTCCACTGACTGCCACGGCCACGTCTGCCATGTCTGTGAATTTGATGGTAAGACTGTTCATGGGCACACTGTGCCGCATGTCGTCAAACCTCATCACGGCCATGAATGCTGACTGTGGAAATCTGTACGAGCATGCATGACTTCTAGAAGCGTCAGATCACTCTATCGAAGCTCCTCGCGGCATCCCGGCATGCGTTCTGCTGCTCAAACCAGCGGGACTCACTGTTTTGGGTCGGAAGTGCTTCGTCAAGATGCTTGTGAACTCGTGCGGAAGAGCTCCCAGAGAAGTGGCAGCCCCCAGTAACCCTCAGCCCTTCTTTGAAACCTAAGTATCCGGGACTCGAAACCCTCAGCCCTCAACAGTTACTGATGCGAAACCCACTGAAATTTGAGGTTCATGACCTGCCTCCCTGCCATCTTCTCCCCTGAAGAACTACCAGGCGGAGACAGAGACTCCCCGTGAAATACCGCAACAAGGGCGCTTCAGGGAACCGCCTGGGAATCCAGGAAGAACAATGCCAGAATCTTTAAGACATGCCCTTCACAACCGTTTCGCATCCACTCCGCCCGGAATGCTAAAAGCATAACTCAAACAGGAACCGCAGGACACTAAAAGTTGCAGAAACCAGTACTCCGCCAAGCAGCAAGGCTCTCTGACCATCTGCATGGCATCGCTGTCGACTGCGGGCACGCAGCCCGGAATTGGGGTCGCCTGGCATACATTAGAGTGGATTGCATTACTTATGTTATACTCCACTGCACAAGAAATGTAAACTGTACATTAGATACAGAAATATCTATTTGTGATGTGTACTACACACTCTGCTCTACATTGTACAATGAACTGTATTATACAGTATACTCTACTACACATGAGATAACCACAATATACTGTATACTGTCTACTACATACTCTCTACTATCTACTATAGACTTTCTTCGCACGATAATATGTATTGAATACTACGCTATAAACTACATACTATGAACTGTCTCCTATATACTTGGTGTAGTACATCTACATACTGAAGACAATGTTTAGTATATACGGAATAAAATGCACCATACACTATATACCGCATGCTATGTGCTATAACATGATATAAATAGTATTGCCAAGTTACTAGACACCATTTACTACACACGCTTTACTATACTGTATACCATATGCTATTTGATACTACGCTATACGAAACTATACATGATCCCTCTATAATACATTATACTGTACTACACTATGCTCTGCTGCAAAATACCGTGTTGCACTTTAAGAAACTACAGCAAATCATGTCCAACTTAGAATCAGCAAATATGTGCACATATACCTACATACCTACCTACCTATCTACATACATACATCATTATACATCCATACATGCATGCATGCATGCATGCATGCATACAGGCATACATGATCATACATGCAAACATGCATGTATGTATGCAGCGCTGCTGCAAGGCTACTGTAAGGGTTATAATAAGGATCCACAAGGGGTCTAGGGTTCTTTGATTTAGTCTTCAGGCCTTTTATTGCACAGGGAAGGGGACACGAACAGCCTGCGACACATTGCAAAAAGAATTCTTACACCAGCTCCAGTGATAGCCTCGGGCTCCGGAGTGTTGGGTAAAGGATACCAGAACTCCAAAATGGGTGTTTCCGAAAATTAGGGGTACCTGACTTTGGGGTCTTGTTTATAAGGCTCCTACGATTCAGGGTACTATGTTAGCCTCCACTATTTCGGAAACTCCCGGAACTCCAAATGCTTTCTGCATTCTGCGCTCGGCTTCAAGCACTTCGTGGTGCCTGTGTGCCGCTGATGGTCTGGAGCTGCGGTGGCGTGGAGGGCACTGCGAAACCTGGGTGTCAGCTTGAACCTCTAGTTTGTGCGCTTGTGGGTGCGGGCTCTGGAGCGGCGTTGCCCTCCAGGGTTTAGGGTTTAGGGCTTCTCGAGTCATAAAGCTTTGGTCAGAGTCTTTGCGATCCGCCCTAGCACTTAAAGATGACGAGTTCATCAAAGGGTCTAGGCCTCCGAAATTGGCACAAACGGGAACAAACGGTCATGCCAGTGCCCGACAAAAGCCCTGTGACCCCAAACCCTAGATAAGTAGCACTGGCACCAACACTCGGAATCCTAAACATCGAAACCTCCGCAAGCCTTACAGTCACAGCCCTGAAAGCTTCACGTCTAAAGCTAACCGAAAACAGCACGATCTCAGAGATTCCCAGAAATTCAAAACGACACCTCTCAAACCCCAAACCCCACCCCAAATCCTCCTTGACCGCAATCCCTAAACCCTAAACACCAAGGCACTGCTCAAAGTCAGGCATCATCGCTGTCTGCGAAGATGTGCATACTTTGCTGCTGATCCGCCAGTGGCTACGGCACAGTTTGAACTTCGGTTCGACGGATGGGTCTCTACGATACTATACTACTACCAAGCCATATTATGTATTATGCACATCTAGGTAAGTTTTCAAGACCAGTAGAGAATCTCAAGCGGTCGGGCATAGGACACTCCGGGGACTTCGGTCTAAAGTTTGCGGCTTCGGAGTTGAAACAACTTTGGGGGGCGGTGTTTAGAATTGACTGTTTCGGTTTTAGAGTCTGGGTTCTTTTTTTTTGTGGGCCCTTTTCCTCCCTGCTACAGTCGGAATACCTAGAGTCTGGGCTCAGGGTTTAGGGTTTGGGGGAATTGATGGTTTCGGTTTTTGGATTCTGGGCTTGCCAGCGGCGAAAGTTTACCCTCAAGAAGATTCGCTTACCGATTCAGTTCGGTTGAAAGGGCCCACGACATGGTCGACAGCACGAATCCCCAAGCCTGCGGGTGAATCTCCGATGCTGCAGCTCTTCTTGAACCGGGAGCCTTCGTAAACCCTCCTGCGCTCCTTATTGAGCTTGAAAGCCGAATTCCAAGCATAAAACAGCCGTTCTCTTACGGCCGAAGAAGGTAGGAGGTCTCCAGCGGATGCCTTGCTGCATCTCATACACATCTGGATCGAAACGCCGTCCACTCCCGCAGCTCCTCCAGAAGCTGGCAAGCTTCGCCCCGCGCCCGGGCATCCAAGCCAGCCCAATCCTTTAGAATCGCCGCGCTGAGGCCCGCCTAACAGGGAAGAGAAGGAATTCCCTTCACAAGCACTTGAGGCTGCTCTCTACGTTGCATTCGGGCCACTGCAGCAGACACGATAAGACATAATGCGGCAAACATGCCATGCAACAGCATAAAGGCCACACCGCACAGATTAGCAACAAGAGCCAAGATGCACACAGGCAGATTCAACACGGGCAGGCAAGGTACGGTACTGTCACTACCAAACGCTATATACCCAACACACCAGCTCCCAGTCAAATCCGAAGACACAAGTAGATGATAGAAGCCACTAGTCACTAGTAATCCGTATCCAAGCTTTCGGCAGCCGAGAAAACGGCAACGTCAAGGAATCCTTCTTTGTTGAGCCCACCTGCATCATGGCTTTCCGATTCGTCGGGTTCTCCTTGCCCAGAACACGCAATGCATGGTAACAGTTCCTCAGCTAGCTAGTGCAAATGGAGAAGTCGCAGACAGGCACCGAGGACTGCTTGAGAATAATCCCTTCAGTCTCGGAGAAACCACAAACAGAAATGGCATGAAATGGCAGAAGCCGACCCCCCAAAAGAAGCGCCCAAGTCTCGCTTTCATCGGATAGATGGCATCAAGGCTCAAGCTAAATCCTTGGTGTTCAAACTCCTGCAGATCCACCTCAGAGGTCGTCGTTGCTAAGAGCGCCTGGGCGGCAGGGTACTGTGACTTAGCGACGGCCTTACAACTCGAGAGGGTGTAGAGACACACCGAGAATGAGAGAGACGGCTAAACCGATAGAGAGGAAGGGAGCGAGAGAAAGAGGCGTTGCTAAGAAAAGCAGATTGAGAAACAACGACAGCCTCGAGCATCTTGGCATCTGTGGCTTTCTGCTGTATGCTCGCATTGAAGGCGATGGCTCTCGGCGTGGAGTTCATATCCCGCAAGACAGTGGAGCCAATGAGATGCATGGTGCCCTCGCAGACGAGGCTAACTGCAGCTTGGTCCGTCGCGCGGCTTCGAAGTACCGGGGCCAGGGCCTCGAAAAGGCCCTGGTCACACCACTCCCCGCGCAGGAAGTCAGACGGGTAGATCATGGCCTTCAGGGCCTGGAGGATCTCTTCGGCGATCTTGGCCTGACTGCCATGCTCCGTTATGAGATCCACGGCCAAAGGGATGAAGCCTTGATCATAAGCGATGTCTCCATTGTTCCAGGTACCTCCCGCCAGGGCAAAGAGGGATTGCTTCACGAGCTCGTAGGCCCAGTCGCTGTAGGGGCCATGGAAGTTGTTGCGGATATTATGGATGAACATCTGGATGCCTCCTAGCTCGCGGGCGATGAGCCGGTTTTCTGCACAGAAGTCAAAGTACGGGCCAAGGTTGCCCATGGAGCTCACAATCTCCGGGTCCTCCGGTCTAGACGGGTACTATAGGGGCTTTAGGGATACAGGGGCCTTATACTACAGTACTATTCTGGGGCTTTCTGGGTGTAAGTTACCCACGACCCTATGCCCCTACTCTACTTCTTAAGGCCCCCAGAGTCCTCCAGGTGGCTGCCGTAGAAGGCAAGGCTTGCGTTCAAAGCACCGAGCTCTCCGGCTTTCAGACCGTTGAGGCGGTTGAAGAGGATCAGACTGGTCATGGCCTTTGCGCAACTTACCTGAGGGCTTCCGAAAAAAGGGAGAACCCTAAGAGAGTGCCCTAAAAAGGTAGGATCAGGATTATAAGATATTATAAGGGGCCCAACATAAGGTACCCGTCACTTTCGGAAACTCCCACCTGGAGCTCCGAGTCTTCCGAGAACTGCGTCAATGCACCGGCCACGAAGTCGATGGCCCCTGCCTTCTCAGGGGTCAAGACTGAACAAAACATGTCTGGAAAGAAAAAAGGTTCATGGATGACTGCAAGACCAAAGCTTGAAACAGCAAGGAATGAAGAGGTACGCCAAACCCTAAACCCTCAGTGCCAGGTGCCAACATGCCGCCTCTGCCCAGGCATCTTGCGAGGTTGGCTGGCTGCTGTCCACGCAGCGCTGCAGCAGGTCGCAGAGGGCGAGCGCAGCGTCTGCGCTTGCTCTTCCCCTGTGCTGCTCTGAGTCTGACAGACTCAGGTTAGTATGCAGGCTGCTTGGTTCAGGGCATGCTGCAGCCTGGCTCGGCCCAGAGGACAGAGCAATTTGCAGGAACAGTGGAGGGCATTCCTCCACTTCGCAGGAAGCTGAAGCGGGCACGCAGGCTAAGGTGACGATCTGTGAGGTTTACAATCAGTCCGTGTGTAAGAGCTGGCGACTATTATTTGACACAGCCGGCATCTTAGAATCTCGATGCGTCCAGACCCCTCTGGGCAGGGCCCTTTCAAGCATGAGGCTGCTGCTACTCCGGCACCAGAGCCAAAGGCGAATGCCAAGGCCAAGTCCGAAGCAAAGGCTGCACCAGCCAAACCAAATGCGAAGGCAAAACCAATCCCAGCGGCACCAGCCATCAGATTGTGTCGAAGGTGGAATCCATCTGCACCGGCTATATGGAAAAGGTCCTCAAGACAGACTGATGAGGAGTCAGATTGTTCGTCCGTTGACAGCGACGCTGATTCGGATTGTTCAACTGATGATGAATCATCGGGACCGACTACGTCGACCCGAAAAGCTGTCAAGCTTAGTGTGTCATTCGCTGCAGACGTGAAATTTACCTCCTCGCGCCCAAGGAAGTCAAAGAAAGACAAGGAGCGAAAGGTGAAGCCCGTCGATGTTGAGGCGATTGTCAACAGCGAGGATCGAGCCGTGAATCTGAAGTTCGCCAAGCACAAAGCGAGATTGAGGGCACAGATCATGAGAGACATGATTGATGATGACGATGACCGGTGGTCGAGTTTCGTTCGTACGGATCCCAGGAACATCTAGAGTGGAAGAAGTTTCCTTCTGTGACGGTGAGGATTCCATCGTTGAGCGTGAACTCGACGCTGCGCACAGCAAACGAATCATCGATCAAGGTGTCTTCAAATGCATGGTACAACCGGTCATTCTCAAGAAGAAGATCAAGTTCCTTATGGACACAGGTTGTGGGCATGACCTCATTTCTCAGAGAAAGATCGAAAAGCATAGTCTCGAGACGCTTGTGACCCCGGAGCCCATATCATTTCAGACCGGGAATGGAATCACAGACACTGACCTTGTGTCGAATTTCCAGACCGAGTCGTTTGAAGAACCGATCAACGCCTACGGTGACACGCCATCTGTGCTTTCTATAGGAAAGCGGTGCATGAATTTCAACTATGGGTTCGTATGGCCACCCGGAAGGGAGCCATTCATGATCAACCCGCAGGGCAAAAGGATATCGTTGTTCGTGAACGGCGACATTCCCTACATTCGCGCTGGGAGTTCAAAGTCATTTGTTCACGATGATCCGGAGGCCAAAGCAATCACCGAAATCTTCAAAGGTGTACTACCCGCGAATGGCATCGACGTCAGCGTCGCCGCCGCCGCTGAGGCAGCACCAAGTGAAGTCGAGGAAGAAGAGGAAGGCGTTGCTCATGGTCGCCTCCTGACCCTGAACCTCACGAAGCTCCAGGAGAAGAAGTACCAGAATCAGAGGCAGGTAGACCTCCAGACGCTGAAGGAGGAGTGGGTGAAATTCCTGTAGGTGATGACGATGAAGTGGTCATTGAGGTGGAAGGCGACGGTGCACCGAGCCGGAAGGCCAGAGTCGGGACACTGAAAGCCGAAGCTAAAACATTGGCACATCTCTGCACTCATCGATATCGCAATCCCTATTGCGAGTCATGCATTCGCGCAAAGATGAAGCATCTGCGGACTCAACGTGGCGCATTTCAACGTGTGATTAAACATTGGGGTGATCTCATCACATTCGATTTCCTCGACATGCGCAAGGCCGCTGAGGCTGGTATTGGATTGGATGACGGTGCACGTGAAGTCCTGGTCATCAGGGACATCGCCACTAAGATGATCGCTGCAATTCCCACTGCATCAAGGCACACTGACGAAGTCGTCATGGCCATCAGACGCGTGATGGGAAGACGCAAGATTCACATGGCGTACAGCGACGAAGCACCAGAGTTCGATTCAGCCATGGCGCAGTTGAAGATAGTGATTGACCATTCCCTTCCAGGGAAACCCAACAACAATTCACTCGCTGAACGATCGAATCAGGAAGTGATCAACACTGTCGCCGCATCCATGTTACACGCTGGGCTACCTGCACTGCACAGTACTGGACATTCGCGCTGAATTGCGTGATGCAGAATCTCAACATTGAGGATGTGGAGGGTGATGGCGATTCAGCGTGGAAGCGAATGACAGGAAAAGATTTCGAAGGGAAAGCCATACCATTTGGTGCCAAGGTCTTCTTCAAACCGACGGACACAAGACCGAAGACCTATGGCAACAAGTTCGATCCGAAGGGCATACCAGGTATCTTCGCCGGGTACATCATCACTGCTGGTCAAGGATGGTCCAAGAAGTATCGCATTTGGGACATGAAAGAATTCGCCAATGCGAACCTGTCTATGGATGCATCCGTTCCCAGGAAGTTGATGAGGCCGTACGAAACGGAGGTTATCTACTTCCCAGAAGAGATCACATTTCCCCTGAAAGCTGAGTACGAAAGGATGAATGAAACCATTGAGGGACTCAGGGACAATGTTGACCTAGCTGGCAAGGAGATAAACGACATCGACGACGATGACGATGGTCCGCCTGGAGGGGGTGGTGATGGTGGAGATGATGATGATCAAGATGGTCTGTTGCCTCCGCCAGACCCCGGAGAAGATCCCGATCTACAGGACATAGATCCATCTGATATTGAGACAGAACCTTCCGGTGATGTTTTCAGATCAGAAGAGCATGAAGCTATTGATGCTATCGGTGACAAGAGGCTCGAAGAACTAGACAAAGAACTAGGTGGACGCGCAGAACCGTCTCCTCCTGTACCAAGAGTAACTGGGGAAGACCGACGATCGCTCCGCGAGGTTGGTCCAACCGGTAGGCTTATTCCTGAAGGAGACATCGAAGAACCTGGTGAGATCATCAAGATCCTGAAGGAGAAGAAGTTGGCTCCTGAAGAGATTGAACATTGGAGTACAGGGAAGAAGGGAGAGGGCGTTGTGTACCTCACCGATGATGGTGAAGCCTGCAAGATTGACAAAAGAGGAGTTCCATACAAGATAAGAAGTGACGGAAGACGAACTCTTCCTACGCGACGACCTATCCATTCTTACTCTCCGGAATCATGGAAGAAGATGAGTGAATCGGAGAAGAAGGCAGCGTACAAGAAAGACAAACGGGACAAAGCCCGAGTTGCCAAGAAAGAACGGAAGAAAGCTGCGATAGGAAGGAGGATTGTCACCAAGGTCTTGGGCAACATGATTTTCCCCAAGATCGTTCCCTGTGAAGAAATAGATCTACATCTCCATGTGTCCATCGACGATGACGACGGTTGGTCATGGGCGCAGTCTTATGTAGAATGTAGATCAATACACACAGGAACAGTTCTTGGAGGATGTCGTGCCAGCTGTCCCAGCACATATGGTCATGGATCTTATTTTCCAACGAAACTTCCGTTAGCGCGCGTTTGGGGAACCCTAACTGCGCTGCAGAGGAACCCTGTGCAAAACACTCTCTTTTTTCTCCTAGCGGACATGGGGGCTCAGTTCGGGCCCGATCTTCGGGCACTGACGAAACGATGCCACTGGCATTTCAGTCCAAAACTCGACCGCTGGTCGATGGTAAGGCGAACGACTGGTTCACCCCCCCTACCAGGGAATAACCCGTACCACGGGGAGATACAGTGAAACATGCTAGGACCTACTGGGTCACTGCAGCTACCAGTTGCTACTCTGTAGTTGCACGGCCTACGGCCTATGTACAAAAGCGCACTCTGTGCTGACGTCTCTCTGCGGGAGAAAACATAGGAGCGCTGCTCCTGGCAGCTCTGCTGCCGAAGCGGTGTCCCGGACCCCGCATACTATACAGGGTGTGGTGGGTGGGACAAAAACTTTTTGGATCACAGATCCAACTCCAAGCCGAAAGCTGCACGGCAAAGTTTGTCTAGTGTCACTCACACACAAGTGAAAACACTGTTTTCCTTTTTCGACAAACTTTGTCTACACTTTCGGCGGAAAATAAAACCCATTCACGCACGCATGATGGATGCTTATTTTCCAACGAAACTTCCGTTAGCGCGCGTTTGGGAAACCCTAACTGCGCTGCAGAGGAACCCTGTGCAAAACACTCTCTTTTTTCTCCTAGCGGACATGGGGGGTCAGTTCGGGCCCGATCTTCGGGCACTGACGAAACGATGCCACTGGCATTTCAGTCCAAAACTCGACCGCTGGTCGATGGTAAGGCGAACGACTGGTTCACCCCCCTTGAGGCACTCGAAGCCTTACTCACCCCCCATCTAGTCCGCGCCGAGTGACAATGCCAACGACACTGCGTTGGGCGGCAGGTATTGGCGCGCTGCGCCTAGCCGCTCTGTCTCTTCCCACCAGTCTCTGCTGGGGCCGTCAGCTATGTTGCTGTCCGTGGGGACTCGAAAGAAAGCAGCCCTGCACTGCAGGGACTCTTCGAAGTCCACCGCTTGCAAGACTATCGCTGCGCCTTCCACTTTGCGTGTGAAGGCCTTGTGCAAG